GATCGCTTGGACGTGGCAGGCTGGGTGTCGCGATCGCAAGTGGGGCCTCGCATTCGCGGAGAAGGATTTATGGGCAAGGCTAATTTGGCCTTCGTGATCGCGAGGGTGCTTCCGCGATTGCGAAGAGAGACGTCTGGGCAGTGTATAAGATTGCAAATCAGGACTTAGCTCATTTTATCTCATTTCTCTCATTAGAATCGATTTTAGGGCAATTTTGGAGAGGCATTTTCTTTATCTATCACAAGGTAAATGATTCCTATTCATTGTGAGCTAAATATATGGATTTAAACATAAAAATTGGTAGAAATTGTAGGATTTTGAAAGAAAACCTAGAAATGGTATTTTTGAGTTTTGACCACGAAATTGGACATAAAGTTGAGAATAAATTATATATTTGAGTCTGTGATGCTATGGATAATATTTATCTTCGATAATTTTTGGTATCGAAGCTCATGGGCCTGGGGATTGACTTTGTTGATTTTTCATGTACAGTTGGAAATTGTTTTGTAATTTATTAAATTACGAGTCTTTGAGTATATTTTGACTAGCTTGCACGTTCTTTGACTAGTTTTTTGGATCGTTTAGCATTGGTTTGAGGTGTTAGAGAGGCGTTGGAGCCGGTTATCAGATTTCAGAATGAGGTAAGTCTCTTGTCTAACCTTGTAAGAGAAAATTTACCCATATATGTGCTATATTTTTTATATGGTACATATTATCGGAGCTACACACGTATGATGTGACGAGTATCGGTGAGTATGCTAGATTCTTGATTATATTCGGGTATACATAGACTGACATCATGCTTTAATAGTACTACTTGAGTTATTCTAGCATGTTTAAATGCTTTAATTTATGTTTTGCCTAAGACTAGACTTGCATAGAGTATCGAACTTTGCTATTCTAGAACTTGGCGCGTTACTTGATTAGTTGCGGAAATTATACTTCCTTTTACAGGTTCTCCTGCGTTGTACGTATTTGTCTGAAAGTTTCTTGAATTTCATAACTCGCACATATATTCGTGAATAAGGCTAGTAACCCGTCAAAAGTTTTACTATTCTTATGGGATCGGGCTTAACACCTCAGCAGTTTCATTATGGGATCGAGTCGTTCACCTCGCAGTATTATGAGATGTATCTATGGATCGGGTTGTACGCTCTCGGTAGTGTACACCAGTATTATGGGATCGGGTCGTATGATTATGGCGTGATATTGTACCATCACTCTTATGGGATCAGGTTGTTTTCCTCGGCAGATTCGATAGAGAGTTAGTGTACCTATGAGTCTTCCTGACTTGAGATTTGACATTTTATTTGTTACTGATCATTTTGTATTCCATTTGGGGTAGTATCCAGTATTTGAGGACTTCGTATTTACTCTTATACTGAGGATCGTGTTATATGCATGTATCTGTTTTGTTATTTTTACTTGCTATGATTCATACCTGTCTATTTTATTGTTCTTTAATTATTCGGCCACTGATAAGTGTCGATGTCGATCTCTCGTCACTACTTTTTTGAGGTTAGGCTAGATACTTACTAGGTACGCGTTGATTTACGTACTCATATTATACTTCTGTACTAATTGTATAGGTATTGAGACAGGTCATTTGGTGGTCGTACCGGCGCGTCGGCATAGCTGCTAAGGAGACTTTGTGGTGAGCTGCTCTCTATGTTACGATCGACAGGACATGGAGTCTCGTCCTATTCATTTACTGTGTTCAGTTCATTTTCTATTCCAGACAGTTATTGTAGTAGTATTGTGTATTCTAATGCTCATGCACTTGTAAGACCGGGTTTTGGGATTCAGATTCTTGTTCTTGGTTGTATTCTATTATGATCTCTGGATTTATATTTTTAGCACGTTCGAACATTTAATATAATATCAGTATTTACTATCAAAATGAACGATACGGTTATTTATTTCATTATTTGCTTCGAGATGCATTTTTAGTTATCTATCGGCGCGTTGATTTAATTGTTGGCTTGCCTAACGGTAGTGTTGGGCGACATCACGGCCTTTGGTGGGAATTGGACCGTGACACGGTCAAACTTATGAACTCTCCAAACATATTCCAAGTTGTTCTGGTGTATGTGCACGGGGAGTCTAGGCTCCTCCCCCGGCCTGTGAGGTAACTGGAGCAACAGGGATCATACCCGCTTGAGCCAAAATCGTATACACGCTCAAAATCTGAGCCAAAGTCTCCTGATTACTATACGAACATATTGGGACCATGAAATTACTAATCCGAGGTCTTTTACTCAAAAGTCAAAGCTTGGTCAACTCATACAACTTAAGCTTCCAAAAATAAAACTAAGTGTTCAAATCATTCTCAAACCTTCACAAAGCCCAACTAACTAATTTCACAAGTCACAAAATAACAAACACACATATGGGAAGCATCAAATAAGGAAAACGTAGCTCAAATGTATAGAACGACCGGCCCGATCGTTACATCTAGGCAGATTGCTTTGTTTAAAAGCTTCTTGATCTTTAATTACTCTTATTCATGTTACACGTATTGTTGTTCACTTTCAATCCAACATAAACTAATATTTAAATTCAGTCAAACTTATGTGAGTATTAACAATGCGCATGTGGAACTATTAACCAAACTCTGCATAAATTATGTAGATACAAGACCATCTTCGAAGCATTGGAATCCATATTTTGCTTGGCGCGATTACAAGATCGATGAAGCTGAAAGCAGGATTCAGAATTTGAGAATAAGATTGAAAGTTCACGTACGTGGCCAACCAAAAATTCTAGAGTATTACTTACAATGGCAGCTGTATATGGAAGGGGTGGGTTCATCTGAGCTCATGCTCTTCTTCCTAATTATGTATAGCACTACTATTTTTTGTTTTAATTATTTACTTTTATTTGTATGTGTGAACCTAAGCTCAAACAACACTTTGATGCAGCGGTAACTGAGTGAATCATTTTTTCCAAGTTAGGGGTTCTTGCTTAATTATACTTCTTTGTTTATTTTATTTTCTTTTATTTTTTCTTGGCTACCATTTTGTTTTACCTCTTTTTATATTTGCTTTTTTGGTTATTATTTGAATTTCAAAATACCAAAAAATAAAATACTAATTTTCAAACACCCTCTTTCTATTGGAATCTTCAAGAGCCCTCCCTCGAATCTTGACATTGTTCTTCAACAAATTAGCAAATTGTCGAAGGCTTTAAGATCAAAGGTTGCACCTCTTCCCAATTTTTTTTATCAATCTCTCTCCTTGTTATTATTTCCTAAATTATTCTTTTATTTAGAAAGTCTAAGCTAAGAGGTTTAATGTTTCATATTCACATAGCATTGTGAAAATATTTTATGCAGTTATTGATTTGCAACTTTAAGATCCTAATAATTATTTTGATGTAGTGACTATAGATTTACTTCTTGTTCCGACTATTAAGTTCGATTGATTTATTTTTCTAATTTTTACAAGAACAAATAGATAAAGTTGGCTGAGTTTTATCCTAGTACGTTAGGTGAAAACAAGCTTAACGAACTCAGCTTCCAAGATATTTCATTGTCTATACTCAAAAGTGTGATAACGAGGTTCTAATTAAACTTGAATTAGGGAATAAAGTATCTTATTAGAGTAATGGTAGAGACAGAACTAGATCAGACCTGATCACTTGTTTATTTACTAGTATAGCTGCTTTGATTTTACCTTGCTATCGCATGCATGGAAAGAGTATTCTCACTAATGAAGCACATAAAAAATAATAATTTACGTAATAGAATGGACAAGAATTTCTGACTGGTTGTTTATTTTGCTATATAAAGCATAAGGTATTCAATGATGCTATTATTTATTATTATTAAAGTATAAAAACTCGTCGAGGACAATTATAAAGTGAATGATGCTCTTTTGTTATAACAATATTAACTATAGTTAACTCGTCAACTTGTTATCACCGTAAAAATTATATAACCAAACCAAAAGTTTATAATGATAAACACATCCTATTAAAATTCTAGATACGCCTCTAATTACTCATAGGAAACTTTATGCTAGAATTACTTTCATTGACGCGGCCAACAAAATGCGCATGAGTTGCTATAAAAACATTCTTGTGCATCATTTTCTTTTAAACTTTTTTTTTGGTTTTTTTCTTTTCAAAAAATTATGCTCTAGTTGTTTAAAACATTTCCTATCTGCAGACTGTTGCCCAAAAGAAACAGAACGGATACAGAAAGATTCATATAGCATATTCCAACCAATAACACAAAATTTGCAAAAGAAAAATTACTAGTTAAGCAAAAGTAGAGCAAAAAGAAGCAAACGAACTTGGTCAGTTAGTGATGCTGTTAGGAACACCCCTACCAGTTACACCAGGACCTAATGATGAGGGTATAAGCAGCTCATAGGGAGCAGTACCAGCACCACACCGGTTTATAAGAGTTGCATCCTCATTTCTCTCTTTTATAGTCTGCTCAATCTCCACCAATCTTGCAGAGAATCGTTCATACATTTCTATTACTTGTTGATCATTGTTTAAGAAGCTGTGAAGCTGTTGCAGCTGAGGCAAGTATTCCTCGTCTGGAGAATGTGTCGACACAGCATCTTGAACGGCTAACAACTTGGTTGCCTGAAATTGAGTAGGCAAAGATGACAGAAACATTTGTTCGGGGTCAAGAAGAAATTGCTTGTAGTCAGGCTCTTCTTCTTGAGGAATGAGTTTCCGCATTAAGGTGGGACGATGCAGCACGTAGCCCCCCAACGGATACTGTCCGAAGTTTATAGCTGCATGGTTACCAGAAACAACCCAAATCATTGTGGTAAGTATGCCAGATAAGTCTTCTTTAGTAATAAGGTTTGGCCACCAAGGCTCATCTTTCTTATCAGGGTGTCCCTTGTTCTTGATCTCATTCCACCACCCTTGGAGCTCAACATCGGAAGTGACAGAATCAGGCTCAGAATAATAGTGCTCCACATACGACTCCACAAGTTCTTTTATTGCAGAATATAAGAGAAGGCCATCTGCTGCATAAGGGTAGTCTTCAATTACAAGTTTCACTCCACATGGTGCTGCTGGATCTTCCACAGCCATGCCCCTGGTCATTATGTTGCTTAATTATCAGAAGAAAGTAAAAAAACGTACAGACGGCAGTGATTTATGGGATTTCACAATGCATTAGCTAGAGTAATTACAAATATAAGAGCATATTTCTACTGCAAAATGAGAAGTGCTCTGGCGGTATTCCTACCTCAGGTTCATTTTTCATATCAGATTTCAGGTCTAGAATGCAGAGAAAACCCAGTAATTTCAAGAATCAACTTGCAGGACATGAAAATATATGAGCAGTTTACCTTTTAACCAAATCAGCAGGCAATGCTTCCATATCGAATCGCCATAGGTTCTGGTAGGCAGCAGAGCTTAGCTCCACCCCATACTTCCCTGCGCAGTCGAGAGCCTCAACAATTCCATTTGCACTTATAAAGGTTTTCCTAGAAAAAGCATTGACTTGCAATGTGTAGCGCATATGAGGATGCAGCAGCTTGTAAATTGGGTGCATAGAACTTAATTGCCTATGGGTGGCAATAATGTATGGTTCTGCACATGCATGGATTCTCATCCTGCAACATTTGGTACACATCTGGTTATGCATATCGAACTTCACTTGATTTGACATCAAAATGTATATTCTCTAAGCACTCTAGTTTGAACACAAGCCTATTTATCAATAAATGCAATTTCCGCGATGCCCCTCAACAGCAAAACTCACTAGTCCAGAAGAGTATAGCGCAGTTAATCGTGACAAAAGGTGCAGGGCAGGGGCGGCTCAACAGATTTCGGGGCCTAAGGCGAAACCATATTGGGAGGCCCTTAATCCCAATATAATCTCACTAGTGGAGTCTTGGGAGGGTAGTTTGCACGCAGACCTTACCCCTACCCTGGAGTAGAGAGGTTGTTTCCGTTAGCCCTCGACTCCCCCCTCCAAAAACTCCCCAACTTGCTCTTAGGGTGACTCGAACTCACAACCTCTTAGTTGCAAGTGGAGGATGCTCACCAATAGAACAACTTACTCTTGTCAAATATACTAATTAATGAGGGAAGAAAATTATCATAATTTATAAATTTATTGTATAAAATAACCTCAATCAAGTAACAAAAAGTATATTGTAACACTTTTTTTATTCTAATTATTTATATAAATAATATAATATATAATAGTAACAATAATAATAAAAATTTAAAATAAATTTGGGGGCCTAAGGCAATGGCCTCACTGCCCAAAGCCTTAGAACCGCCCCTGGTGCAAGGTTGGGTGTGCTTGTGTGAAAATACTCTTACATTATTAGATACGTAATATGGTGTTATCAATTGTAGTCAGTTTTATAAGAAAAACTAGCAAACTTAGACTGAAATAAGAAAAGAAACTATTAATTTGTGAATAGGACTTAACTCTTACCAATGATTAACCATTTGAAAAATGGTTGCGTCATTGGAGCAAACATGCGCTTTAGCTAGCTTCCAAAGCCAACTAGTTGTAGCATCATGGCCAGGAGTGAATATGCGATTGGTCCTTGGTGAAGCAGGAGTTGGAGGAAGTGAGAGTTCAATAATAACTGGTCTTAAAATACCTGTTGGCGTGTAGAAAAGAACTGCTCTGGAAGCATAAGCTTTGATCCCGGACAAGGAGTTTATATTCTCAATAAATGGAAGAAACATGTCATGGTGATCAAGTATGAACAGTCTCTTGTTCTCAATAGCCTGCACAAAAAATTTGATGCAGGATTCATATAAATAATCAATCCTCAAAACTTTAACTTTCAACATTATTTGTACAAAGGGACACTGTCTTCAAGAATTGGCATTATTATGGAAGCTCTCGGACCATTTTGCAGTCTCCAGGCATATAACAAGAAAGGCACACGAAAGCACGTTTTTGTATGACCATACTTCCATAAGATGCTTATGACTGGAATTACATATAGTGATATCAATATTACGACTAAAACTACCATGAAATGAAACTCCAGAAAAAGATATGTCCCCTCTCATTAAGGAAGAAAACGATTTCCATATGCATTAACAAACAATTCACGACAACGAAACAAGAAACAGAGAGAGCTAGTGAGAGAGAGAGAGACGAAAAGAAAAAAGTAAGTGTCTCAAATATTAGGGGAAGGAAATTTTTGTCTCAACTCCTAATCATAACAGTTATCCTGGCGTCAAAATAGGATTACAAACCTAACAAGCCAGAAACATTATCAGAAGAAATTGTATATCAGACCAAGAGATTTGTCATAGGACCAACTTGATTTATTTTGGATGGGATATTCAATCCCTTGCCCTGCAGCAGAGACCAGTTAGATCAACCTGTGAATTCTGCCAACTGCGATAACATAATAATACTGAAGCTTCTAGCAGAAGCGTAGGTAGTATGTCAAGTGCTAGAAAATGAGCTCATCCCCCACCCCCCTCCTTTTCTTTCCAAGTTACTCATGTAATGGATTGTTTACCCTCCCTTTGTCTTCCTTCATTTTAACCAACAAAAGGTCCACTGAATTCCTACCACTATATTCTAAAAAATAGTTTAGCCAAAGCTTGTAGAAAGTGGGAAGATGAGGTGTTTTAGGGGTGGGCTAAAATGAATTGCTTGAAAAAGTGGAAAGAGAACCAGAATCAAGGGCCAGGTTGGCTACATTTGGTTCAGAGGTCGGAGTGTAATAAACTAAGGAGAAGGAATGCGAGTTGGTAATGATGAACAAAGTGAAGCTTACTTTTGCAACAAGAAATTCAGCGTGGAAGTTCATACAACATGGCAGTAGGAGTGTTAGTTTGGGAGTTACTTATGAAAGAACGTTAGTCTGCAAATTATTGTGTAAGATAATCTAGTTTGGGAAAAGCAAAAGGCTTTCAAATTCTGAAGAGCATAACAAGAAAGATCGATGAAAGAAGATTGAAATTCCTTGTATGCAATACATGGTAGGAGTAGTTCTTTAAGTACATGATCTCTATGTTAACTTCAGTTTGCAGGCTGAAAAAGATGGTAGTGTAAACTTCAAAAGAAATGATTACCTCCTCAATTTTCATTCCATTTAGCTCTGGTTCTATTAGGGCCTTTGTAATTGCTGACTCAGGAGGACCATAAATTTGTGGATCCAGTTTACTGAGAATTGGAAGTTCCTGTGAGGAAAAGTGAGGCATGTCACAGTGCAGTAGCAGACTCCCACAATTCTTCTTTTAAATTTATTGTTACCTTAAGTAGTTCGATGTTAACAGGGTTAACCCCTGCCAAAGTCTGGCGTGCAAATTCATGGTCTCGTAGCCAAGCAAATCTATCTCCTGCAGACAGATACAAAAGTTAACTAGTGAAACTTGACAGCATATTTCCAAAAAGCAAACCAAAATCGATTTTGGAACATTAATAGTTGACTCGGATTTAGGACAAGAGATAATGCAACAAAACTATCAATATATTCAGTCTTTGGATTAGAGAAAAAGAAAGTAAGAAATGCCTTACTCCTGATGACAGGAATCTCGAACTTGAGCAATCTTTCACCAGCAAAAAGTATTTGGTTGATCAAACTCTCCTTTTGATTTTCATCTTTTGAGGAAAGACCATCAATATATAGTTTGTCTATGTCTGTAAAGCTGTTGAAGGGAATATTTGGACTCAAGAATTTAGCAACAATAGCTGGTATCAGGTTGTGCATGAGACCGTTCCACCTTTTGGCAGAAAGTGTATCCTCCTTAATTTCCTCAAAGGCTTCATCTCTAGGAACATAAACTGGATGAGGTGATTCTGCTATACTCTCTGCACATGGATCTGCTCACATTCACAGACTAGAAACGTTAGCGAGTGTATTAGTCTCAAAAATGCTTAGGCAGCTATGCTCATCCAATTACATTAGCAAGTGTGTTAGTCTCAAAAATGCTTAGGTAGTTATAAGCAGAACTAGTAAACTTGGTCTACCCAAAGAAAATCCTGTTCAATTTGACTCAACTAAGCCGTAAGGCCTAAACAACACTGTAGAATTATGAAAGAAAAGCTAAAAGCTACCTGTTTTAGTTGGAGATCTTCCAGTTCGGCAACGCCTAGGATAAGGTCTCTCCTCACCACCAAATACAGGCCGAGACAGATCATTGCTTTTGTCAGGATTGCCCAAATCATTATAAAGTGCATAGTCATAGACGCGTTCATGTCTTTTCCTTTCACCATTTCCATTACCACGAATCTTCAGCAAGTCTTCACGACGAAGAACCCTTATGCCAGGGGCCGTTTGGTGCGGTAGATATGCCTGTCATAAAATGGAAGCATTTCTGATGAAGCATCATACATTAAGCTAACAAGAATATAGTAAGAAAACCTCGTCATAAACCTGATTTCTGAAGATAATTCTACTATCCGGATCGTCCTTCCAAGAATGAATCCATGTATTCGCAGGAAAGGTTATTGGACCTTCACCAAAACCATGAATTACAATTTGCACTAAGTGCACCTCTTTGTCATGGAAATTGGTGAGGATGATAGCTCCAGGACGACGAAAATCACTTGGCACTATGAAGTTAGCAGTGTATTCAACTATAGACGGGTTATCTGATGCCTTGGGCAACCAACTCCCAGCATAACATTCTAAAATTTTCCCTGATTTGGTATCTGTAAACAATAAAGACTCAAATGTTATGCTTGCAGTTACTGAAACTTATATACAGCACCAACATCTTTCTTATATTAGGAATTGCACAACTCTAAGAAAAGAACAGCAAGTATTTACTGCAATGGCCCACTAATCAACTAGCTACTAAATGCAAATTAAACAATTTCGAATTCAAATACACACACAGATACACATTATGGTTTATCACAATATTGAGAGAGACGTATATGTAGTATATATATACTGCACATTTATGGTTTCAAATTCTGGACTAGTCTTAATATTAACAAAATTCCAACTTGGTTTAACCCTTCATATAAATTTCAGGAGAGTACTGAGTTAATTACAAATGTTGATAACTTTTGCTATGCTCTTAATCAAAAACAAAATGATGATATCCCTAAGTACCAATTTCTTTTAAAAGAGGATTCTTATGTAAATGAAATCTTGAAATTCCAATTTCTTGAAAGGGCAAACTACAATACGGGTAGAATTACCTTCCATGTGTTATGGATCATTAAACCCTTAATTAAGTTTCTCTTCATTAATCTCTATACATGAAGAATTTGAGAAGTTACAATAAATTGACCAGATTCATATGCATAATTAAAAATTGTAACTAAATAGTCACTTTCTACTGCTACTATTTAAGAACATAATATTGCCAATTCAGTGGAAATCGGTCAAGTACCTTTTTTCAAGCAAGGATGCCACAATTTAGATTTGTATATGAATAGTCATTTTTTCCTGCTACTTTGTATGTAGATATGCTCTAAACTCTTTGAGGAAGTTCAAAAATGTTAAACACGCGGTATTGTTCTTCTTGTATTTCATTATACTTATACAATTTTTTATTTTTATATCAAAGTATGTGGATCATGTTAAACTTATTTTTCATCATTTTACATGGAAGAAAGTTGTGTTAATTCCACCTACTTTGTTTCCAGGCTCTTTGTTTCGAAAGTAAGTTATCATCTCTCTCCCAGACCCATAATTTATTATTCAATTGCCTTCTATCATTTTTTTTTAGTGGAAATGATGTATGTTAATAAACGAGAATGAGTAAGTAATCATCCCTCCCACTTAATCATGGATTCACTTTAATAACTTAACTCTACAGGTTCGAATCATGGCTAGCAGTGAAGTTGTAGAGGTCGTCCGTCCTCCTAATTGTTGATAAAAGGTGATTGGCAAATTTCCTGCAATGTCATCATTAGTTTTTATTCCATTTATTTTAGTTTAAATTTTTTTTTAAATATTGTGAGTATTGAAAAAAGAAACAAAATTACACTAGGGTGCCTTTTAGTTTTTAAAAGTTTTAAGTGTGACTGTTTCTAAAATAAAATATAGCGAAAGGAATATTAGATTTCACATGTTTCATTAACAATCTATGGAATGGCTCCATTTCAATATCGATTTATATTATATGGCTCTAATGTATTACTCTCAGTATGTTATTGATCGTAGATTAGGACAAGTAACTAATTTTGTTTTTGAAATTGATTCAATGTCCGAAAATTATTTGGACAATAGCGCTATATGCAAAAGAGGGGACAATAAAAAAAATGTCCGTAGCTACAAAAGAAAAAGCAAAGGAAGAACGAGTAGTAAAATAAGCTCAGCTAGAATACACCATAGGGGAGAGTCGTCTCTTGACGATGATGCTAAGTTTAATAACAACAAAGCTGGTAGATTTGTTTTAGAACTGATTTTATCCATTTTAACTTCACTCATCTCCAGTCGATAAATAATACTTAAAAAAAAATAAAGATAGATACAGAGCATCTTAGTTGTGAAAGTGGTATTTTATTGTTTCAGTCACTGTGGGCCTTTAAAACAATCGGCACATGTATCAACGATCAAGACTATATATCAAGTGATACAATGATAAAAGTTTAAGGGAGCTTGAGTAACCTCTACATATATCAATTACATGTCATCAAATATGGTTGGTTAAATGGTGTCAATTCCAGCTTAAGGGAGCTTGAGTAACCTCTACATAAAAGTTTTCTTAGGTTTGCCGCCTAGACTTTAATTTTGGTCACTGCCATTTTTTTTTTTTGGCTAAAATATTGTGTCGTGATATCACTTTGTTTTGGTATGGTTCGACTTAGTCATGTTTTTTAATATTCTGCGAACTTTCATGTGTCGGGGTTCAAATTTGTTCCCTCAATTTCTTCAAAACTCATATAAGCTTATAAATACGTCTTTAACTTTGAATATTTTGATAATTTGTATTATGGTTAAGTCGAAATGTTATCATCAGTCTTTCACATGTTCTGTGTACAAAATAAAGTATTATCTAAATACAATTGTCGACATTTATAAAAAAAAAGGTACAACTTCTGCTGACATAGCAAAATTGTCCAGCTTTTTCTTTCTTTCCCAAATTCAACTTTCCTTGTATGAAAATAAAGGATTTTTTATTTTCAAATTTAGCCTAAGAAAATCAACTAAAGTTGTGTTTTGCAATACATTAAATAAAGAGTAGATCCAAGCATCTCTCACTTTTTAGGGCATTCCAGTAATGGAATTAATAGTAAAGTCCCTGTTAAAATTTTAAAGCCAAGAGTCCAAGGGAGATGGCAGCTCAGACGTACACATTATCAAAGATGTATACAGTATTCCTTGATTTTATTACCAATATTAATTCTCGCGTAGTCTAAACTATACAATACATCTTTCTATAGTGTGTTATAATTTTGCTTGGTAATACGCCTATTTTAAGAGAGTCCTGATGCACCTCTTCTAAAAGATTCCTAATACACCTCCTTCTTTCTTCATTTTCCATCAAACTTTCTAAGCATTAAAAGTCGAGTACCACTTGTAAGGACACACGTGAACGCACGTGTCCAAAAACTAGTATATATATATATATATATATATAAGGTAAGAGATACAGTTACTAAGATTCTTCCTCCAAAGTTTTATCTCTTCTAAGTTATAAACATATTTCTGTTGCAAGAAAGCAATGGAAATTCTTTTTCCTAATTAGAGAACCGAACAAAAAAACTTTCTTTTCTTTGTGAAGAATTTTTGTAGAAAGTTGATGAGAAATGCCAGCACCATATTATTCGTCGTAGCAATTTTCTTCTCTGTATCTCAAATACAATTGTAAAAAAAGAGATTTTTATTTATCTATACAATTTTTGAAATTTATTTACCCTCAATATTGAAGTTTTAATTTAATTACAAGTTGATATATAATTTACCAATTATATACAAAATAATGTATTTGCATTGACAATGCATCTTTAGACTTCTATTAGAAAAACATCCACTGATAATTGTAGACATGATACAGAAGCAAACATCAAACCCCATGGAAAATGACAAATTTGGTGATGGAAATTAAGAGGAAGCTGGAGTCCATAAATGGGCTCTTGCAACACTATTGAGGGAGAGCGATATTACTACAAACAGAATTAGAAAAATTGATAAAAAGGGAAAAACAGAACCATGATTAAAAGTAAATTGTTTAGAATAGGACATTGATAAATAAATTCACGTGATTAGTTAAGAGTTTATACTCTATTGGCCGCCATTAAAAAGGTTCGAAATTTTGAATACGAAAATTGAATTTTGCGAATTTGTTATTTATTTGAATTGGGTATTGTTGCAAATGATAGAGAATATGAGAGAATTTGATGAAGATTCGATGTGGTTTTGGTTAGAATATAAGTTTAAAACTACAAGAAGAAGAACTAAACAAATTGTATATACTATATATGTCGGGTGTAGAAACGACATACAAAACTGTAGATAAATTGTATATAAATTGTAGTTTTTGACCGAATTTATATATATTTTGTAAAAAAAAAATTAGTTACTTTCTGTAAATAGAAAAACTTAAATAAATCGGGTAAAAAAAATTAAATTTTCGTATATATACGAAAAAATCCCAATCATAAACGGCCTACCATATAATTTGTGTTTAAAACTTGTGATTTCATTGATCACTAATTAGAATAAATCTTGAAATACTTGCATGAAGATAGATATTCCGTTTGGCCAAGCTGTCAAAAATTGCTTATTTTTAAAAGTGATTTTATTTAAAAGTCATTTTTAAAAAAGTACTTTTGTAAAGTAACAATTTGTGTTTGGCCAATTCATTCAAGTAGTGTTTTTTGCACCAAAATTATGTTTGGCTAATCTTTTCAAAAAATAATTTTAAGTATCAAATTACGAAAAAGAACCGTTTAAATTCACTTTGCAATTAGTATTATTTAAAAGAGAAAAATAAATTTGGCAAGTCTGGTTAGGCCACCCTAGACCTGTTCGAGATTGCAAGAAGAAGTACAACGGATCAATAAAGGTGCTAAAAGAAAATCTGGACATTATTTGGCATGTTGGTATACGCAGTACGGAGGGAAAGGAATATGCTCATATTTCAAGGAGGTATGGTCAAAACAGATAGCATCCGTAGAGAAATTGCATTACATATACATGCTAGAGGCAGAACATTACAGCATTGGCATTTGGCAAGGAGCCCTTCAACTTTTTTCCTTAGGCTCTACGCAAATGTAACTGTTTCTTGTTCATATTAGAATTTAGACAGAGTACTTAGACTTCAGGTTTGGTGTAATTAGGATTGTGGATGGTCAGCATCTACTAGCTTTGTAAAGATACTTTTTTGAAATGAATAGAAATTACTATTTACCAAAAAAAAAGAGAAAAATAAATTTAAATATTTATTATAAAGGAATTCCATCCAAATATAAAACATAAAACATAAAACATAAAACATAAAATAAAAATAAAAATTAAAAATCTTAATCAATATAAAATATAGTTATTTCAAAGTAATAATATTGGGGGGTTTTGGTATTACTTATTATGTACGTGATAATTTAAATATATTAAAATGCATCATTCAATATAATTTAAAAATCTACTCTTATAAATCACTATATAAAGGAAGAAATCTATTTATAGTAGAGAGAATATTCCAAAGAGGGATAGGAGAAAGAAAATAACAAAAGAGATGAAAGGTATGGTGGAAGGAAAAAGAAAAAGGAAAAGGAAAAAGTTAAATAAAAGAGGAATAATTTAAAAATATAAATTTATTATAAGGATATTTTACTCCTAAATAAATTAATTTTTTACTTCTGTTTTTGCTTTTTGAAAGAAGGTAGAATTTGTAATTTTTCTCTAAAAGGAGAAAAATTGATTCTGCTATTTCTCAAAAACACTTTTTTGTTTTGACCAAACATCTCAAATTTTTCAAAAAATTCTTTTTTTGAAGAAAAAATATTTTTGACTTTTCAAAAGTTTGGCCAAACAGCTCTCTGCATTAAACAGGAAAGAAAGGGAAATGGAAAAGTGAAAAACTTCTTAGAAAAAATATGAACAACTTCTCAAAAGAACTTGTTTTATAAGATTTTGGTCGAAATATTTTCCATTACATTTTCCAAGAAGGCAAGATAAGTGCTTTACCATTAACCTACTATTCTATCGCCAATAACGAATGATCAGTCTCATCAAGCTCATTAAATTTTGTCTTTATTTTTCTACTTTGAAACCAGAAGGTCTTTAATTCCGTAGTTTTTTGATAGGGGCCGTTTGGTTAGCTTGTAAGAAGGTTTAGTTATGACATAAAATTCTGCACAATTTTATACATTGTTTGGTTGGCTTGTAGAAAAAATTAATCATTGTTTAAAATTCAGCATTGTTTTATAAATTGTTCTGTTAATAATTTGATTTTCCTCAAAAAATAATACCTACATATGTTATGCATGAATCTATTATGTTATGCAGGATAGGAGTAAGAATGCTAGCATTAATCATACATGAAATAAACCAGCTAAAATGATAAAAACATCCTCCCTGTTTTCTGAATACTGTTGTTTTACAATGATTAACCCTTTTTAATTCAATTCTTTACCTTTCTGGTTCTTTTACGTTTTCATCCCTAACCCTAAGGCATGACAATTTCAGTTGCCAAAGAGCCAAACTCCAGAACCATTCCTTTTTCATACACCTACCACAGGATCCTAATTCCTATTTAACACAAAACCAAATCAAAAGGCACAAAGAAAAAGATAATTTTTAAGATTTATCATAAAGAGTATACTAGTAAAAGAAGCATATTTCAGAATGGAAAGGACTAATTATTAAATTCTTATGATATCAAAGATGTCTCGATCGACCTCATGATCTTCAAAATTAGTTTCTTTAATACAACATTTCAATGAGAAATAATCCCTATATTGTAATTCTTGTATTAATCTCTGCATAACTAATTCTTGCATTATTAATCTATATATAACTAATTTTTGCATAACTAATCCCTATATAATTAATCTTTCTATAATTTGTTTCCCAACTAAACAATGTCTAGTGTTACTCTAGATCAATAATGCATATAAAAGCGAGATATGACATTTCAATTGGGACAAATGTATAATAAACAAATATTAAAAATAAGACAATAAATTATTTGTACGAGTACCATGTTAACTCAAGTTGGCGTTTGACAATCTGGAAGGACAAAACTGGTTTTTTTATTTTTTGGTTGTTGTACAAAACTAGTTCATATTCTCTAAAACCTTCAACCAACCTAATGGTCGAAACAAGATGGAAAATGCTTTAGTTTGACAACCATCAAATTTAATTGTCTTAGGTTCTATTTATTTTTCTTATATATCTTGTCAAATAAGTTTCACTTGTATATAGCATGTGTCTAAAGTCTAATCTTCTCATCTTCCATTATGAAAAATATTATTGAGAGGTAAATTCTTATAAATTTGAAGGAAGAACTTTTCCTGAAATTGTATAAAATTGAAATTAAAAATACGTATATATATATATATAACAAGTTGATTAGGATGGAAAAAGCTAACCAGGGTCAATATCTTCGCTAACGAGCTGAATCAACATTGCACCACCAATTATTCCTTTTGTAATTGATTCCATCCATTCTCCAATCTTATCTGAGATCTTCCCTTTCATCTTTTTCCTTAACATAACCACTGCCTTCACATCTATTGATTCTCCTTCACTTTCTACAGTTGAAACCACCTCATCATCAACAGTACTCTCGATAACATTTCTTGTACTATTATTCGCTGCACGTATCCTTACCCAGTTACCGATGGCCATATTCCAGTACTGATCACTTGAAAACCGGGCTACCGATGATGTGGTTCGTCGACTACTCCTAGTGCTGGCAATGTCCTCGAGTCGCCGGACGATGAAGACACTTTGAATGTGTGTGCTGAGAGTGACTGGTGGTCCATGTTGAATTTTGAACATTTTATTTGAACCAGCTGTAGTATTTCAATGATATGAGCTTTAAGTAATAGGAGCAAGTGATTATGGTAGGTGCATCGTGCATATGCATGTGGAAGCTTTTATTGAAGATAGACTTTGACCATATTAAAAATTAATACGTACGTAATAAATGTTACTATCTCCGTTTATTTGGAAATAATTTTGCTTAAACTTACAATTCTATCCTTAATGAGAAATTTTTATAACCACACAAATACTCTGGGCCCTTTTTGAATTGTTTAGGACCACAAATTCGAAAAGTCTTCATTTTTTCTTAAACTCCATGCCCAGTCAAACAGGTACACATAAATTGGAAGGAAGAGGAGTAGTTAATTGTCAATGTACTGTTATGATAAAGCTTATTTAAAACGTTCTAAATTAAAAGTGTACGAAATAGACAAGTAGTACTAGCATGATTATGAAAGCTTACCTAAAAAGTAGATAAGAAAGAGAGTTAGCTGTACACTTAGGGCCTGTTTGGTTGGTTTTTCCGGAGCAGTAATCCATGTACGAAATTCAACATAATTTATTATATTGTTTGGTTGATGTATAGGTAAAATTAGAAGATGACAGGCGGATGTTAGTCAAGTGAGCACGTGGCAGTAAAGATATATAGGAGACGAGTCAGCAAATAACTGACATCGGATCTAAATATATGGTCGGTGTTGTATGAGTCCCGGTGACATCAAGACCGAAGAGAGAAAAGTTTGAAAGTAAGACACCGGTTGAAGAACGCAACATTCAAGGAGCGACCTTTACAAAGAATCTTAGCATTTACACTCAACCGTTATGCAGCTATCAAGAGGGATTTTTACTCACATTAAAGACGAGCTTGATTTGGGAATCTTGTCAACCTTAATATAGCTATCAATAGAGGAATATGTACTTATTGTAAGGACACGAATACTTGTATGAAAAAAGGCTGAACTTATTCTCTTATTCTCTTAACATTATTTTACCAAGTACTTTGTTCTAGATATTATTCTTGCTACCCGAAAAGTATAATTCAAGGACCAGGCTCGTCTCTTCTTCAATTGTTTCTAACTTTATTCAATTTTGGTCTTCATCATTTTATTTTTTTGGATTAATTTAATTCACGTGTCTATAAACCACCTTATAAATTTAACTGTATCGTTTTACCGATAAATAATTTGGCGCCCACCGTGTGGCATAGACAATTATGGTATTACTTTGATCCATTCATCTTTTACTAACGTATTTTGAAGCTTTTCTTTAGTAAAACAAAAATAGATATGGTACCTAATGATGCCAACAACTCGCTCAATGTTGGAACAAACAACGTCAATGAGCATGAGGACAATCTCTGTAGTTGAGACTAGCATGATGATTCTACCAGTGAAACTTACAATGATAGGAATGAAGCAACTCCGATCCGAGAAGGACGAAATACACGGCTTGCAAGGAGTCCTACCGCTGATAAATGATGAACCTGTGGATGATATGGTGAAAGTTTTGAGAGCACATCAAAGAAATTTCATGAATTATCTCTCTAGATAGGACATGATAATGACTGAGCTCCAGCAAGCACTATCGGTTGCCTCAAATAATTTCAAAAGAGGAGTTCGAGTCCCTCCTAGCGTGCTTGCAAACTAGACAACACAAAGAACCGGTAACATCGCTTTAAGGGATGAGTTAGGATTCAATGATAATCAAGCATGTGGTGCAGGTAGTAGGTCCGAAAATGATATCAACATAGATGATCTTTTTAAAACTGAGCTCATGAGGTTCATTAGGAAAATGAATGATCAGATGAATCAAAACACTAAAGAATTTGATGCTCGGATGGATTAGATCCCTGGGGCACCTCCGGTATTGAATGGCCCAGATTCAAAAAAGTATACTCACCTGCCATTCAAACCAAGTGCGGATCTGGAGTTGATTTTAAAAAGGTTCAAGATGCCGGATATTCCGAAGTATGATAGAACTTCGGATCCACATGAGCACATCACAATTTACAATATGGCTATAAAGGGAAATGATTTGCCTTTGCATGAGATCAAATCTGTTTAGCTAAAGAAATTTGGCAAAACCCTAATGAATGGAGCTTTAATGTGGTATTCTCTTTTACCTGAATATTCAATTGATTTTTTTTTTAAATGCTTGCAGATTCATTAATCAAAGCTCATGCTGATCAAGGAAATTCCTAGCTAGGAAGGCAGATTTATTCAGAATCACTCAAGGAGAATCTGAATTGCTTTGAAAGTTCGTGATCCTGTTCCAAAAGGAGAGGATGTTTTTGCCGGCAGAACTGGATGAATAGGCAGCAGAGGCGTTCACCAAAGACCTTAATCCTTTAAGCTCTTATGTCTCGAGAAAATTGAAGGGGAGCCTATTGGAATTTCAGGCAACTACAGGGGCACATGTCCATAATCGTTATGAATCAAAAATCATAATTAAAGATGATCAATTAAGGTTTTTGGTGTCATCCAAGGATCGTAATTACGATCAGAATCAAGAAATGTTCAAAATGATTTTGATGCAGACTAGAGATTATTTAGGAGTCATTTCCAACATTATTTATCAAATGAAAGACCTGATGGGTGTAGAGCTAAAGGTTTTCAGTCATTGGAAAGCTTCAGACTAGATAGAAGGACGAATCGTGGTTGGAGTAGTAGGACTTTACAGGATAAAGAATCATCAGGGTCTCGGGATTTAGGATATCCCCGGTTATTAGATTACAATTTCAACATTAGTCTGGTAAAGTTGGTTTCGGCTATGAGAAATATCAATGAGGCAAGTTTCCCGAAACCAATTTGATCAGATCCCAATCAAAGAGATCCTAATTTGTGGGGTGAATTCCACGGAGATATCAGTCACTCATGGCAAGAGAATCCGGGTTGAATCTAAAGACAATGAAATCACCTTCACGGAGGAAGATGCGAAAAGCCTTATTTTACTGCACAATGATGCTCTGGTAATATCTCTTAATATATTAGATTTTAAAATTAAACGTGTGTTGATTGATCGAGAAAGTTCAGCCAATATCATCCAATTGAGGGTTTTGGAACAAGCAAAGCTAACCAGAAATATAGTTTCGGTAATAAAGCTTCTGGCCGGGTTCAAATTAACAAGCATAATGACCCGAGAAGAGATCGTGTTACCTATCTATGCCGAAGGGGTGACGAAATTCACTTTGTTCAAAATAGTGGATGGCGATATGGGCTAAAACGTGATCCTTGATAGACCATGGTTCCATGAAATGAAGGTTGTGCCATCAGCGTACCATCAAGTGCTGAAGTTCCCTACACCAGATGAGATCAAACATATTAGAGGTGATCAACCTGCTGCAAGAGAAATGATTGTAGTCACCTACATAGTAGCAAGGTGGAGGGAATTTACAAATAGCAACTACAGGAACCGGTGTCTACTTCCCGTCTAGTCCCGGTTGAAGGTGATGGGAACGGAGTTGAGCCCCGAGCTCAGGCTTAGAATTATTGAAATTTTCAAAGCTAATATTTATTATTTTGCATGGTCTCATTCAGACATGACAGGTATTCCACCGGAAGTGGTTGTCCACAAGTTAAGTTTGGACCCTAATTTTCCTCCGATAAAGCAGAAGAAGCGACCAATAGCCGATGTCAGGAACAAGTTTGTTAAAGAAAAGGTAACCAAGTTACTAAATATAGGTTCAATTCATGAAGTAATTTATCCTGATTGGTTAGCTAACATAGTAGTTGTACCTAAAAAGAATAATAAGTTTAGAATGTGTATAGACTATAAAGATCTAGATAAGGTTTGCCATACAAATTCTTTTCTATTGCCAAACATCGACCAAATGATCGATGCTACGACTGGGCATGAGTTGATAAGTTTCTTTTGATGCATACCCCGGGTATAATCAAATTAGGATGCACCCGAAGGATCAATAAAAAACCTCGTTTATCACAAATTTTGGCATATATTGCTATAATGTGATGCCTTTTGAATATAAAAATGCCGGAGCCACTTATCAGAGGCACGTTAATACGATGTTTGAGCGTCAAATTGGTAAAATCATGAAAGTTTATATTGATGACATACTGGTTAAGTCTCTCGGTGCAGGAAATCACTTAACTCATCTACAAGAGGTATTTGATATATTGAGAAAATACAACATGAAGCTCAATCCAGAAAAGTGCACTTTTGGAGTTGGGTTCGGGAAGTTTCTTGGCTTCTTGATTTATTAAAGAGGAATTGAAGTAAATCCTGACAAGATCAAGGTCATAGATGATATCCCAGACCAACTGAAAAGTGCAAAGGAGGTGCAAAGTTTAACCGGTAGACTGACGGCCCTTAGTAGATTCATATCAAGGTATTTAGAGAAATGCCACTGTTCCTTTTCACTATTGAAGAAGAAGAATGACTTCTCATGGACGCCGGAGTGCCAGCAAGCGTTGAAAGACTTGAAGAGATATTTGTCCAGCTGTCCTTTAATATCCAAACCAAAGGAGGGGGAATAATGATTAATTTATTTAGCGGTATTGGAAGTTCCGGTAAGTGTAGTTCTAGTTCGGGAGGAAGAAGGTACGCAATTTACTATATATTATGTTAGTAAGATACTTTCAGGTGCGGAAACACGTTACCCCGCACTTGAAAAAGTTGGCTCTAGCTCTCGTAGTCGCCTCTTAAAAGCTTAGACCCTACTTTCAATGCCACACAATAGTTGTTGTGACGACCTTTCTCCCAAGGAACGTCCTTCATAAACCTGAATTATCAGGTCGATTGGCTAAATAGTCAGTTGAAATTAGTGAATTTAATATTGAATATAAGCCTCAGACTGCTAAGTCATAAGTTTTACCTGACTTTGTGGCTGATTTTAGCTCGGGAATGATGCATTTAGCTTTTAAAGAAGCAATTCTGGTATCCGGAACTGTCTCCGGTGTATGGACCTTGTTTACGGATGGAGCCTCCAATGTAAAAGGTTCTGGTCTTGGGATAGTACTAATCGCTCCTTTGGGAGAAACCTTGAGACATGCCATTAGATTTGTTCCATTGACTAACAATGAAGCCGAGTATGAAGCTTTAGTTGCAGGACTTGAATTAGTCCAGGGAC